TTCAAAGAAGACTCCTTTTGCTGTTGAAGTGTCGGGAACTAACTAAACGGAGATAAAGGAAAAAGTTCAGTAGCCTCACGGAAAAATTTATAGTTGCTATGAGCTCGCAATATAAATTCACAACAACCAATCTTGAATTCTTCGCCCAAAACTTCAGAGTAAAACCCAAAAGTTGCAACCAAATCCATCAAATAAGTTGTCGTTCCACATAGAGTAATTGCAAAGTTGATTGGAAAAACTGTCCCGAGCTGATAATTGAAAAGAACAAATTGATATCGAAGAAGGGTTGCAGAATCTAATATCTCCGGAACAATAAACGTTGTTGTCTTTCGTACTACAGAGTGAAAAATATCATCTAACACACTTTCCATATTGTCATCGTTGATAGCAGGATGAGATAAGTTTGCAACTTTCTCTACTAGGGCTAATAAAGTATTCTTTACAATCAACGGAATACCCCCTGTCTTCTTTTTTAATAATTCTGCGAATCGATGTTGCAAGCCATCTGAGGGCAATAACCAGTCCTTCAAGGACTTTCCATCATAAGTTGCCAGCTCAAGATATTCATTAATATCATGGAGATTAAAGGGATTCAGCCGCAACATATTGAGGGCGACACTACTGGAGCGAGCATCAGACAGGCGGGCTGAGATTTCAGCAGTCCGACCTGCCAAATAGACAATTACCTTCCCTGTAATCAACAAATCACGTAAAATACGGAAGAAATTCCGGAAAGGTACATATTTTGGGTCAGACTCGACGAACTGTTTCGTGGTAAGTTCACTATAGTATGTGGTGAGGTAACTCAGGTGACTAAGTTCGTCTATCATCAAAAATAAATATTGTTTCTGAAATTGTTCGAGAAGAAAATCTATGATATCGTCCAAGTTGTGGTCCTTGATTATCGTTGAAGCAACGTGAGCGGCATCTTTTCTTCTTCCATTTTGACGAAAGGCTCTAAAAACTATGTTATACATCAAAGCCTTTCGAAAACTTGGAAAAGGAGCATCAGAAAAGCTCTCTCTTAGTTCTAAGATAACTGACAAAGTGTTTTCCGCAAAGTGTTTCCAAGAAAAAATCTTCAAATCAACTTTTCCCGATGAGCTCTTGTTGAAAACCTCTGTCTTCGTCTGCTCTTCTTCTTCGTCGGCGAATTTTTTTAGAAACTCTAAAAAATTTTCACCAACAAAACTCTTGCCAGCCCCAAAGATGTGAGGGGAGAAACAAGCTGAAGGGCGTATGTTCAAGTTTCCCTCAACTGGAGAAAACTGGTGGAAATAAGTTCGAAGAATAGAGTAAATATCTTCTTTTCTATCTATTAACGGTACTTTTGTCATTCCAGGCAAACTTATGCGTATCTCTTGACTAGCCATTTTCCACGCCGCCGCAATCCAAAATCAATGAATGAGTGATGATGAGAAAAGGGTGATGAAAGCGATGACCTAAAAGCTTTCAAAGGAGCCGAGAACAAAACACTTGGAGGAGGACAAAGGAGTTGGAAAGAGTGTATGTTTTATTGTTCGAGCGGTTGCTTTATTTGGTGATTGGTAAAACTGATCTCGTTGACACTTCTAGACTCACAATGACAATAGAGAGAAAGCCGGAATATTTTCTTGCTTGTCATAACTAGAAACTTTCTTTTATTATATACAGGAAATAGGTTTCTATGAGTTTTTGTGGTGAATTAGATTGATTGGTATTCTTTCTATGTCTTTTATACTGTAAGAGAGTTTTTCTACTATCTTCCATATTATCTTACACGCAAACTCCTATATACATGTCTAATTAGATACAAGCTTTTTGTAAGTTTCAGACGAAAGATAGTGGGAAACAGAGAATTGCAATGAATGGGAAGTCTGTTTATGTGCAACCGTTCGTAGCCAGAGTTTATAAATACAAAAATATCTAATTGAATTTGGAGAAGAGTATGATGAAGATTGTCATACTGACTTATCATTAAATACAAGCCATTATTGATGTAATAGCTACACAAGTTGTCTATCCTTTGTTCGATTTTAAAAAGTTGTGAATATGTCTTATATAAGGACATCAATTAAGGCTTCAAATGTAGTCACTATAATCGTTCATTTTCTGCACATCGATGCTGAAAAAAGAGCAAAAGATTGAGCCAAAAAATTGTTTTGCTAAAGAAGAAGCCTTTTATACTTGAGTCAAGGTCGAGTAGTGTACCAACTTGAAAGCTTCAGCAATTCTCCAACTGAAAGCCACTCCATATTGAAGAACTTTTACCCAACATGACTCTTGGCTGAAAGACGTTGTAGTTCCTAAGTTATCGGTCAAGTGATTGTTGTGGAATGACAATACTTCAAGATTGGATATGGTTTCCTTTGACTAATTAGGAACAATTCTGTTCCACTCTCAAAGTTGTCCTTTGCAATTCAATATAAATAGAACTCCTGTGTAAATAGTGACTTTCTGAAATAGAAACTTTTTTCTCTGTTTGTCACATGGGTAGATTCATTTAAGATGTCTCTTGTTCTATCGATAATTGAACAAAGTTTTTCATCTTTGCAACCGGGTTACTTTCCCTATCTAAGAGTCGGTGAGTTTTCAGTCTAATTCACTAAAACAGAGTTTGGATATATAGTGTTGTTAGTACTTTTGAGATAGAGTTTGAATTGCAAACCAAAATACTTTTTTTAGTATTTCTTCTTACCTTTGCTATATTTTCTCTTGGATCCAACAAGTTTCATATTTGTAGGAGCCATTCATATGAATTCCAAGGCTAGAAATGCAGTTTGAAAAAAACACATAAAAACGAAAGGAATCTAAACTTTTATCGAATTTCAAGAAGCTAAAACTCTTTTTGAGACCGCAGTGCAGGTTCTCAAGTTAGAGGAAGCCTCAAGTTTTTGCTGCCACTTTTTTCGTTTGGTCTAAAACCGAGGAAAACTCTCTTCTATTCAGTTAACAAAAGATAGGAAGGACAGTCCAAGTGAAATCTACAAACAACTTTTTCTGTCTCAGTCTTTGAAAATTATAGTAAAAGGAGTTACTGTTCTTTTTTCAACAGGCTAGAAAGACAACGTAGCAGACACTTGAAGAATGTTTTGAGATATTCTTCGGTAACCACTTTACTAAGTATTTGGACAAGAAAGGATATTTTTCATTCTAGTTGTATCAACATGTGTGTATGTATAGTCTATTCATTTTGAATCATTGCAACTCTGCAATATTGCAAATTGACACCAAAAATAGCCTTCAAATGAAAAGCTTTTAGTTTTGAATTGTGTTAAAAGGTATCTTCGAAATATTTGAAAGATTGCACTAGTGTATTAATCAAATCATTCTCCTGCACACAAGTGCATATCATCAATGTCCAATTTCTATAAGAGTCAACAACTCCTCTTTCTTTCTCCTCTGAAAATACTTGCAGACAATACTGATATTTGATATTGTGGATTCTGCTAAGAGAAAACTTATTTTCAAAAAAGTTCAATTCAGTTCAATTGAGTCTATCCTATCGAATCTCTTCTCGTTTTTCATCATAGCATTTGAATCNTAGTTGAATTGTCTCTTCCAAGTAGTCGACTATATAGTTGAGGTGTTTTCGAAGGTAAACATGACTGTTTAGGTTTAAAGGTTTTCNCTGCCTTCTCTTGTACCATCNACTTTGAACTTTGTAAAAACCACAAATTGTGAACATATATAAGAAAGCAAACTNTATAAAACACAAAGCTAAC